ACGTGCAAGCGTACTTATTGGGTTAATACTTAAATTCTTTTCACACAACGGTGCTAAAACCAGATTGTTAACACCGTTTTAAAGATTATAAAGTTCGGCAAGTATGACGTACATTATTCTAGCAGACAACATTCTGGTGAAATAAGACGATAAACAGTAGAACTAGTCTGTTAGACGAAATATTCCTGAGTGAACTACCATTTTGAATTGACTAAATAGCGCCTCTTGCAAAAATAGTCTTGTTCGTCTTTGTTAAATATTTCGATATTAAAATGAAATTACCTATGTAATTAAATTTTCTCCTTGGAACCTTAACCTTTTATAGCTTTACCGATGAGTTTGTTTAAACACGCTCAATGAAACATTCATTCAACCAGTATTTCTAAACATGGGTCGACAATCGGTTGAACTATTAACACACTTCACTTCACACGTATGCCGATACGTTCGATTCACATTTCTGCCTTATCGTCATCATCTTCATTAGTGATTGCAAATTCTCATATCAAGGTTCATTCAATAACAATTAATACAAAACTGAACAAGGTCTGTTTTGAAGATTCGTCTGATTTAATTGTTCGACTCATACTTCAACTAATACCTAGTAATAAAGTGTCGCGTGAATCTTAAGAGCTTAGAATGTTGAGGCTTAAGTGGATAGTTTATCAAAGTGACGTAGGTGTTTAAACCACAAACCACAATGACGGTGATCCAATTGAGTTTTATCAGTACAACGCTTAATCAAAATACTTATTAGTAGAGGACAAACAACAGACTCTAAATACATACAGTGGATGGATAGAAACCATCAGATTTAAGCGACTAGTAAATGCAGTACAGTTTATTTTTAGTATGTTCAAAATATTATCACAGAAACTGCAAGTTGGCGAAACTTTTGAAGTTGCATTTTATTTTCTGTTTGAAGTTACTAATTTAATTTTTATTTGTTCCAGGAAGACGAAGTGCTCTGGCGGTGCACAGAATGCCGATCGCGCCGCGCGGCCCTCCGCCTTCGACGCCACCCTACCACCTGCTTCTCCGTAGGAGACCTAGCTTAACCCTCAAGTGTCCTTCGATAATATAACGTCTAACTTTTTGTACGCCTCTTTTATACCGACCTATAAGTATAAGTACGCAGTGTTTAAGTGTCGCGCGCAAGTGTGAGTGTATATGTGTGTCGATGGTGCGGCCGACATGGGAAAGTCCTCGGCGAGAACACATGGCCAAGGTGAGTGTCTTCCCGCCCACTGTACTAAACACCTGTCCTCAAGGTCACTTTGCTATTCTGTTTATTATACACGAGTACATATCTATCTAAGATGGTGTTCCAAGTTCTTCAACTTATCCAGAGCGTCGAACACAGTTCAAGCTTTGGGTATCTGGACAAGTTTGCAAGGACACCACAAATAAAATATCATTAAAGGCCTTATTAATTTTTCTCATGTGTTCTTCAAGAACAAATAATACTTGACCTTCTTTCCTGCCAGAGACCTTCCTACCTTTCTAAGATAGAAGCTATAAGTAGTGTTGTTTTAATAACGCAGATTTGATTTCTTAAATCATTTGAAGTTATTATCCAGCCCACGCACTTTGAATATCTCTTGCGTAACAAATACAATCGCCCAGACCTAAAACAACCGAATATCAATAGGTCATAGATATATTAATTCTGCGTCTATGAAACGTGTAAGTTCAAATCTAACGCCCACACTCAACATCGTTGAATTCGGAGACGACCTCAGAATTGCAAAAGTTAACTTGATATTCAACTATTTTCTTGTAAAATCATATTCATATTGACAATACCTATAATTTTTAATGTTTCATGTTAACCTGATGTAACATTTCTTTTATTAATGTACTTTATGATATCAGCGAAGCTTTCAGAGCTACCAATGTGGTTTGACTCAGTCCACATGATTCATTCATGACTTTTTATTTACACGAAACATCACTTGAATTATATTTTCATTTGCGTAGAAATAAATTTATTGCAACCAGAACAAAGCTTATGCCACAAGACACAAATACAACTTTGTTAAGATCTGGTCAAGGCCGCGTAAGTTGTGAGGAGGAACTAAAATGTAGATGAAGCTAACTGATGATACAATTTGACTCAAGTGTAAAGATAGTAATTATCAGTCGAACTTTTAGATTAATAACACTTGATGAATACTGTGCGACTACAGTTTATCAACTTTAATTACTAAATTTTTTCATAAATACCAAAGGAATAAAGAAATATTTTAATAATTCCAATCGTCCTCTTGAACTCTGTTAATTGCTCCAATTTGTTCCACTTTCTCGTTACCTTCACTTACGGCTCCAATATCGATCACTTATGATATTGAACTTATAATTGCACGTCATCCATGACACTGACCGTCCACTGTCATTACTGTATGCCGTAAGATGATAATTATACCGTCCTTCGTTTTATTCCGTAATTCGATTTGTGAAGGAATATAATTATTATGATTTGTACACGTCCAATCGATCACTTTTACATAGAATTACATTTTTAATAAGTAGACTAGAAATTCTATTTCTTTTGATTCTTTTTTGTCTAGCCTATGGATTCAGGGATAGATGTTCAATAGCATTTTTTTAAGCTGGAAATATTTTCTTATTTCAATTTTACCTCTTTGTCACACTGATATTGGTACTGTTCAAGCTGAATGTCTTAACCTATTTTTAAAGAGCTTAAGATACCATTTCTGATTAAGATTACGTTCTACTACTCATTTTCCAATTAATTTGAGAAATGGATATGGCAAATGAATGGGTTCACTTTGAAGTTGAAATCTTTATTAAATCTAAGTTAATTTTACTGTAAGCTTAATGAAAAATCCGCCCCTTCCATCGCTACCGTCATCCATAGTTCTACCACCAACAATTAATGTCTGTCTAACGTTTGACACCGCCGTGATTTTATGCTTTAGACAAATATTTGATATGTGTTCATTACTTGTTTAAAGTTTGAACGTTTGTTTACTATGTCGGTTAAGCTGTCATGGGATTGCCGGTTGGTTAAATATCCAATAAAGTATGCAGGTTAACCTTTGTCTGTCTTGAACTCTATATGACAAGGAGAATTATGTTTATAGATTTATATGTATATTCTTCATATATTTTGTGCTTTGTGACTTTAAATGTAAAATATGAAAAGGTTTGTCTTCAAAATATGAAACAAATGAATTGTCGTGACTGTATCGTTAGTTGAGAGGACGCTTTATTAAATACTGCGCACAAGGATTAAGATATAATTTAAGTATCCAAATGCCCTTCAAAATATTTCTTAGAACTATTCGTTAATGTTTTAATCTATTTTTTTTTTTCGCTTTCGTAAACACTTAAAAAGAGGTCATGATCATCCCATTGTTGCATGGCTCTCAACAAGCCAAAACTGGAAATTATATACAATAAACTATATCTATCTCTTAGTAGAACAACAGATGGTAATGTTTATTACTTCTCAGAAGCTTCGATTAAAAAGAAACTAGTGCCAAAACTGTTAACGTTGGAAATATTTTTGGAATAACTCACTCAATCCGCAATGATAACATTGTATGCACATCTGAAGTGCTATTGAGTCGACTACACTGCATAGTGCATTTACCATTTAATAATCGATGCCTCGTGCTCGTATTAAACGTCGAAGGAAAGTAATGTCCGCTAATGCGATTTAATAGTTTTATATAAACATCAGCAATGGACGACGCGTTCTCTGGCGCTGGCCAAGAAGAGCTCGGAACACGCCATGTAAATTGTACATAAGCGTGTGTTTACATAATATTGTATTCCTAAGTGGTGACCTAAAATCCCAACCTCTGGGATTACCGATGTATGCTCTAAGTAAAATTAGTCTAGAGTTTGGATCCCTGAGGAATTATATAAAGGTAATTGCTGGACACAATTTATGATGAAAGGGCACTCGGTTAACTAAAAAATCGCAAAGACTTTTTGAAATTATCTTGAGAAATAAATTAAATGTCGTCGGAAATATTCGAGTGGAACCAGATAAAGTCAGGTCCAGACGCCATTGTACTCTATTGTTCCTTGTAGTAAGGGCCTTTCTTGTTGAAATTTTGCCAACTAGACGGTTTGTGTCTGTACCTGTTTTGTATTATGTCAAAGTTGCCCACTTGTTTCAATAAATGCCTCTGTAATCTCTCAAGTGATTTATTTGCTTACAATATTGTGTATTAGGTGTTTTTATAATTAATCTCAAGTTACGTTACCTCATCGAACCTTTTTATAATACTTCCAATAGTGAGGTTAGTTACACTTGAAATCTCAATAAATCTCGTTTAATTACGGAACTAAGAAAGACTTTCTTAGCTTGATGTACGAAAAAGCAATTTATCTTGACAGAAGCTAGGACGTGTAAAATGCTTTTGTGCGGAAGTTAGCCAGACACGATAAAGGACGAGTTTCAACTTATACTGGGCTCCTTACTTAGCTCCAATGCTTGCCGCTCGCATCATAAATCTGGACAGGACATTTTAAAAATCTTTCTTCGCTAATTCCTTTTCCACCTGCGAGGTTTATTATGGAGTTAGTAAAACGCTTTCTTGAAGTATCCACACTTTTTCATTTTTTAACAGACACGATAAAAATTGTTTACATCATAAATTGCTACATATATTAGGAAAATATTAAACATAGTGAGTTTCCGATTTCCGGAAGTTTTAAACAGGTGTTGCGATCGGTACCCTCTCGGCCTCAGACCAAGTGACGAATAGTTAATTTTAGGATTAACTTGTATTTGGAGATTAGTTGCATATCGTTGAAATTGGAATGCGAGGCATATTTTCACAACCGTCACATGATCAAGATTTTAGATTTTCCCCATGGCTATCAGTTTTATTAGGAGTAAACACTGAGAAGAGATGGCAACACCGGGGCGGTGGCATAATCAGTATTGGTGTGGGATGCGCGCGCCGAGCAGACGGCGCTAGTGTGTGGGGCACACGAGTCTCGGCCCTGCGACGGGTCAGAGCGCGCGTGCGGGCGCGTGTCGCGAGCGGCGAGTGGCGTGCGGCGTGTACCGGGTGCGGAGCGGGCCAGCCGCCGGGGTGGCCGCGCGGAGCGGCGCGCGACATGGGGCGGCGGTAACGGCGCGGATGTGCGCGCGATCCGAGGCTGTGGAGCTGGAGGTGCTGGGCGCGGAGGGCGGAGAGCCGCGCGTGCCGCCGCGCCCGCTGCGCCTGTCCCTCCTCGAGCTGCTGGGCAAGCTGGTGCGCCGAGACCAGCCCGCCCCGTCGCACCGCCGCGCTAGGCACAATCATCGGTTCCGTACTTTCGTCTCGTGCGGTCGGTATCTATTGATTTGTTGCTGTCATTAAGATCTTACCGATAAAAACGTCTTATTGAATTTTATTTCGTTGGCCGCCGGCGAAGTCCTGCGTCATCTAGTATGGTACGTGTCTCGCAGCGTGCAAGCGACGCTGATATCGTTTGCGTAACGTCTTGGTATTCTACTCAGACGCTCGCCGACATGTTTTCGTTTTGGCCGGCTCGCTGTGAATGGTAGAGCGACTTCCCCCGATTGATGATGAGTCATTTCAGGAATAGAGATGATGCACAATTGTACATAGTGGACAAGGTCGGTGTCGGCGCGCCCCCGTACGGTCAACGGCCGGGGTGAGACGGCGCTTCAGCGCTTCGCGTATGACCCCGCGCTGTTGTTATCGATTACCCGCTAATGTTTCACTTCACTAAATTTAATTAGGATGCAATTCTTTTGCCAATATGTCAACTTCCGTACTTCAGGGAAGTGTGTTAATAGAGTAATACAATATTCTCATGGTAATCAATACAAAAAACTGCGTAGCTACCTGTTTGCTCCATGTTTTTTTCACGAGCAAAGGAATTATCAGCATCACTGCATGTAAATCGCGCGTAATTAGATTATTTTGTTGTTGCATTAAATAGTGCCTTTCGAAACAAAATGGTGTGTTATGATGAAATGTGCCATGTGGAAAACGGGATTACTTAATAATTCCATGAATGAAGTTGCAGAGTTAGGACCCTTTTCCTTCGAGAAAATGGCGTTTCGGTGTTGCCTTTTATAACTGTGTCTAATACGAGGTATTCGGTTTCGCACCTACTTTTAAAAAGTACTAAAATATGAGTACTAAATTAATATTAAATAGTCAAGTACATAATGACTAAGGTAAACAAAAAGGCAGAGATCTAATTTGGTAATTATACATACACATTAACATGCCAGGCCTAAATCCTGAAGTGAGGCAAATAGAGGTATATTTTTGTATGATACCTCGTAATTGCAAAATCTGATGAAAATACCAGCGTAAAATACTGGGTATCTAAAAATTATATTAAACACTGGTAATTTTTTCAAATCAGCTTTAGTATTCCGAGTAGTCGTGACATGATTTGTAACTTATTATAATAGTGTTTAAGTAGTATGCCAAAATAGATAAATCTATATAAAATTGGACATTATGGGAGGCATTTCATGAAGACCCACGTCCAAAAGGCAATTGTAATTGTGAATCATAATATCGGATTCAATACAATGAGGATTTGCATAACACTAAGCTAGACAAGCTGCCAGCCGATGAATGAAGGCCAGCTGAGGTCAACGACATAACAAGAAATTGGTAGTACAACCTGGATGTAACCGGCAGCACAATCACAGGACAATGAGACGCTGTGGGCGGATAACAGCTGAAAATGAACATGATGAGTCATTTGTTTGAAATTCTTTAAATATTCCGGTTGATTGCCGTCACCAAGCCAAAATCTCTGATGTGTCTGCCCAAAATAAGTGTAGATAACACATTTTAATATCAGAGCTTGTAGAGTCGCTGATGCTTTCATTTGCAGTCCGTCTGTAGGAAAGGACCACAAATTTTGCCCAATGCCAAGAAATCTTCTGAGTCAAACCTCTTAAGTCAGTCAGGCAGTCACTATTATGGATTTAACAATCAAATGATGATATAAAACAAAGAAATAATCATATCTAAAAGAAAATGAGCAAAAAAATGTCATTATCCGCTGCTATCCAAGACTAAAATATGGCATCCATTAATTCGGTTCGGGATGTAATAAAAAGGTCTTCGAATCTTCACCTAATCACGTATTCGTGTTCATCAGTAATATCGGTTTCTGCCTATTATCACGATTGTTAATTTAACATGGATTGGTAATTAATTACTTACCATATCGCAAGTTTTAGTGCCCCAGTGCCACGTGCTGATCACGGGTAGTGGAATTTTAGTTTCTATATCACCATTAATAGAAAAAACACATTTCTGTAAAGTAAAATAAGAATCAAGGAGAACAAAACTTTCCAAGAAGGTTCGGAAATAAATTTCGAATCAATGGTGTAATTATTGATTTAGCCTTCGGAAGCACCCGAACACTAAGAGAAATAATAACCTTGAGTCCTCAAGTTCTTTGTTGTTCCTTTCGACTCGTAAAATGACCGCCTACAAATTGTTCTGGACCTTTTTAAGCATTTTACCCTCAGCATTATTATCTCAGCGACATTTTCGTCACTTTGTTAAAAGTTGAAGGGAGGAAAATTAATTTATCTTCACCTTGTCCTTCAACTCGGTAGCTTTGTCCTTGATTTCTTTTTCAAATGTTCGAATTATTGTGGCTACATTCTTACATGAGAGTTGTGAAACCGGAATCTTGAGTATTCCTCAATAATTTAATAATTGGTTGGGTAACAGTAATACATTTCTATTTCGATACACGTCTGTAAATTATATTGCATGTGTCGTGTAATACTTTAGTCAAATACTCGAAGGTATTACTATTCTACACATATTTTGTAATAAATATTATCTGATATTGAAATAAGACATACACATCTAGTAGGGTTACATACAGTACACGTAATGGAATATGAATAAGCCTAAGACGAGACACGTGCAGGAAACTTGAACATGAACGTCTCGGCCGTGTTTAGGTCTAGCATTGTAATGTGATTCAGTAAGGGTGTGTGGAGACGATGCCCCTGAAAATGTTATTAGTCGTAAACTGGGAGGAGATCGATCGCCGTCCCCTCGGCGCCCAGTCGAGACGCACTCGTAACCACTACGAGACGATGAACAGATCAACAGCTCTATGTAGATGTTGCTACATCCGCTATAGAAATTGTCAATATACAGAAACGTTCAACTCCTATAATGAAGTTATTGCCCTGGAAGTTATTTTGTAGCTGCGCACCGTGGGGCTACATCCTTTGACAAATAGATGCTATGGGACACAGGAACATGATTAATTGTTAATTACAAGTCGGTTCAGAGAGATATTAATTAGATCTTAAGTGCTATTAAATTATAGTCGTTATTTGCAGAATGTTTGTGAAGGGATCTTTTTGGCAGAGCACTGCAATTACGTGTGGGAGTTTTTCTTTGTCTGTTTGTTACGAAGACATTTCTCAATGGCCCCTCAATTGTTTAATGGAGCGCTGACTCCTAAAAACATTTATTCCAAGTCAAGAGAATATACGTGACATATTTTTTAAACTTGTTTTACTTTTCCCGAAGTACCTATTCAGGAGCTCAGCTGTAGCATTTAAAGCAGACTTCATGAATAGGCGGTTAGTTAATTATCCCTGCGCCAGTTGACGGGGCACGTTCTTTGCAGATGCACTCAGTTATAGCCTGCCATCTTGTACTATAATTACTTTTGAATGAAAGGGTACCTCTATGCGTTTATTTTTATGATTCAAGCACTTATTATTGAAGTCTGTTTTGTATCATAAGGTAAAAATTCGTGTAAGCCTGCCATCAATATATCTGCGGTAAAGCAGCAATAGTTTACCAATGCCTTTACAGTGACATGTGAACATGTCACATGTGCCTTCTAGACTACAACATAAGGATGAAACACTTAAACATAAAAAAGAATGGAAAGTCGCTGAGATTATTCTAGTTTCGACATTAGTAAAAGTCATGGTGATAAGAGAACTGTTAGGTTTTTCTCGCGTCTCGTACTGGGTTTAAGTATTTACATAAATTAAACTATCCTTTTATTATGAAGATAACGTTTATAACCGATAACAGTTTATCACTGATAGTACAATTATAACAGAATTCTGTCGTATAGGATTTCCCTCGTTTTATGACGTCTTTTTTTGGACGTTTTACTGTTAAGGTAATTTGAAAGTTATTGTATAGTCTTTTGTCATTTGAAATTTGAAAGTACACCTACAATTGTTAATTTCGTCCTTTAGGCCCCACCTACTATAACTAATAAATATAGTACATGCTACTTCAGAGGTTCCTAAATATCATAAATCTAAAAATAAACGAATGTAATATCATTTTCGTAATACGACAGTTGTTATAATAGAAGGACCGCCTTCTTGTCACCTTTTCATACGTCATCTTCTGAATTTTATTATTTTTTCTCCCACACACAACTCGTAAAGTGAATTGATAATTTCGATAATGGAGTGTTAAAATGTAGGACATATGATTAAGAAAATTAATATGTGCTCTACATATATTTTTTCATTTCTACTCGAAGATACATTCATTGTCAGTTGAGTCAAGTAACAACAAAGTAGTAGTTAGTGAAATTCTTCTGTGTCCTGTGCACCAATTTTTAATCCTATACGTACTGCGATTGTAACCAGTTCTTCTGCACCTTCGTTCTGCAGCTAATTCAGTGGTCATATTTTTTTTAAATCATGAGTGCGTTACGAGGTTTGTAGCTTGGTAAAATAATTTAATTTAAGTGAATTTAAAATCTCTTAGCAATAACAGGAAAACCGATTCATAATCGTATTTTTTTATCTTACCATAGAATCAGATAAAAATACGAAAAAAAAATTGAATGTGTAACCTCCTTTCCAACGAACAAGGAAAACTTTTTCACTTTCATTATTTCTAGTAATAGCTGTTTACTAGCTTATTTTTAGCACTAGATTAACTAGGTTATTCCAATTTCCAAGTAGAACAGTGTCTTGTTGATTCCAAAAGCTCTATTCTTCAAAGGATGTAGGTTCCTTATTTTATTTCTACATTGTATTCTCTTTGTGACCATTCAATTTAATGAGGATATGCAGACATTGTTTGCACGCTCGTTGAGGTACAAATTAGTCAGTTCGTTTACATTCAAACAAACAAAAGAATTTTAGATGTCCATCAAGAATAACGATGTGTTCAAAGTGTGTGGGTACTTCAGCAAGTTTAGACAGAAGTAACATTTAGAAACAATCGTTTATTTATGCCACTGTATTGATATTAATAATGATAATTAGATCAATAAGTCTGTTTGCAAGTCAGTTTGTGAGAATGATGTCTAAGTATTATTGTTTATTGTTGCAGAGAATGAACGGAGAATCAAAGCGAACAACAGAGAATACAACGCGCAGTTCCGCTATGCCGTAAGTTGATTTATATTTTCTATACATTATAAACTGAACTAACTTAAGCTTCTACTTCCAGTACTACTTACTACAGTTTTGTTACTATAAGATCCATTATGACATTAATTTTTTTCCATGTAATTATACCAGTTACCCAAATATCCGGGATCCAGGAATCCGAAACTTGAATTAGAAAATTTACTTACTCTATATTTTTCGACCACTTACCCTATAAGACCTATAAATAATACTTTGGTACCGAAGTACCATAAATTGTTATAAGAATTGAGGAAGACTTTTACAGTAAGTCCAAGTAAGAAAGCACTTGCTTTTAATGACATAGTCATGAATTTATGGTGCGGTCGATACTCGACTACTCTGGGGTAGATTTATGGGCAGATGCGCAAGTCCTGATTCCTAAGAAAAATGTTCTACATTTGACAGTATAGGATATTAGTTTAATGTTTTTATCTAGAGTTAGTGGTGATGGAAAGATAGGCCACGTAGCACAATTAAAGAGCACTAGAAAGAGACCTGAAGGCTTCAAATTACGAGAAGATGAACATCTTCTTTCTTTGGCTTAAAGAAGGAAGATGCCGAGGATGTAAACATACATATAATAAGGTATAGGATTACCAATCGCCTAACTTACCTGACGGACAGATTGACAGACTTTTTTCTTTTGTTGAGATTGCAAAAGTGCCTGTGTATGGTTTAGTTGAAATAAATACTTTGACTTTAAGGAGCTAGAGGAGACACCATGTTAGATTAAACTGACTAAAGTGTTAAACACTGGAGAACTAACAATTTCTTCCACCTTCTAAGAGAATATGGCAAACCCCCGTCGGTAGAGTAGGCTCATAGTCCAACCGTGAACTGTCACAGGCTGAGGCCTTAGTACGACCACGTACGAGTTTGTTTTACGTTTAAAGTAATCGAAACGAGACCGCTTTCAGCGCTTTGATTGGTTGGTCCATTGGAGCCGGCCAATCAGAGCGCTGAACGCGTATGCTTTGATGATTGATACTGAAAAATTACGGTCGGTTGGTAGTTATTCAGTTTCTGCTCGAATAAATCAGCTACTTCTAGTGTTATTGTAATATAGACGTTAGTTGATCTTTGTCGGTAAGTTATTATTAAACCCGTTGTAGTTATAGGAATACTGATAGGTTTTTTCTTAATTGTATTCTGATCATAAATTTAATAATGATGGTTTTTTTAATTAGTTTGCCCGTGTAGTCTTGTAAAATCTTCTATAACGGAATCTCCTCAAACTGAAAACTTTAAAAGTTATTGTTTTCACATTGAGCTGTACTAAGCTTACGCAATAACGCAATTAAAATGTAACTACTTTTGTTTATTGTTATATTTACATTTATTATTTCCGTTCTTCTTGAGTGCTTTCATGCATTTCTTTTACGAAATAATCCGTAGTTAAGCAATGTCTTTGAAATAGATGATTAATTAGGATTAATTCATTCAACTAAAATGGATGATTGATGATTAGGGCAGGTCAATGAAAAGTGACAGATTTAATTAGTGAACTCTTATCAGCCGTGCCCTAATGTCGGCAGTTCTGTTAATTATTTATTATTAGTATTAATTTCTGATCATTGAATTGATCGAAGCGTAACGTGGTGGGATATAGTTTTTTTTTTCTACAAATATTAGTTTTAAAAAGAAAACAATACTTGTATGTTTTGAAATATTGGCATCTAAGACGAACGTGCTGTTACTGAGAATTTTTGAGTCGTACAAATCTAAAAATACATATAAGGACCTCTGTTAAACAGTCACGCACGATAGCGAAACCTAGTCACGAGCTATAGTTAGTTACCGTACCTACATAAATATACGTAACCTAAAATTTACGTGTTCTACAAACTTAGGTTATTAACAAGTGGAACAATAGAACACCCGTTAACCTGCTTTATAAACAGGAGTACCTGGTTGATCGTAGATCTTTACTCTATTTTGGACATAGATTCAACAATTTATACGCATGCGTCATACTGGCATGAACAGAAAATGACGTAAACAAAGATTTTGCGCGGCCTATGTATAATTAAGTGTAGGCCGGGATGTGTGAACAATATGAAATCATACACTGATAAGATGTAATTCCTAATTATATCATCTGAATGAGTATTCGTCAGCGTACTCGTTTCCGGATCATTTAGTGAATAGATTTCGTCTTAAACTTTGATCCTAAGAGTATCTTGGGAAACAACGGGTGATCTAAGGTGTTTTGGTAGTTTTCCACCAAAGAATTTAGTAGATAGATGTAGAAATTCCTGAACTAAACTTTATCCACGATATAGATAAAAATAGAAACCTCACCTATTCTTCCAATATTCACATGGCAACTGGTGTATAAATTGGGCTAACAATAATGCCCAAATAACATCGTCTATACATGGTTCTATATTTACTTTAGTCTAACTGACATGCCTGTAATTATTGACCCTGTCTTGTTAGCCTAGTGGTTGCGTACAGTATTGTGGATAACAATCACAAGGTCTCTTTGTGGTCACCGGATCAAACTAAAAGTGTTACTAGGTTTTCCTGTCAAAACGTTAACTATTAATAGACCGGAGGCTGGAAGTTAGTAGCTGATAACTGCCCTGTTGGCACGTGGAACTTCCAAACCGACGGGTCGGAGCGTAGAACATTTTCATCGGAATAGATTTTGTAGTACGATTCCGACTACAATTGAAAGAAAAAATAAATAGCTTAAATCGTCAATGGATATTTATAAATCTCTTTTGTTACAGAGCAACTTCATCAAGACATCGAAGTATTCGATCATAACGTTCCTGCCGCTGAATCTGCTGGAGCAGTTCCAGCGGCTGGCGAACTTCTACTTCTTGTGCCTGTTGGTGCTGCAGCTGATCCCGGCCATCTCATCGCTCACACCTATCACTACTGCGATACCACTGATCGGTGTACTTGCTCTCACTGCCGTCAAGGACGCGTACGACGATTTTGTAAGTAATATTAAATTAAATAAGACACCTATATACATCATAGAACAATAAAATGCTGATATGTCAATGACCTGTCTGTCTGGATACTTCGCTGTATGTGTAATGTCTCACAATAGTGGACTTTTATAACCGGATATCCTAAAAAGGAACTGCCAAAACTTGTCTAACCCTAGATCCGACATTGATTTTCGCAATGCCATATACGCTATCTCTACCGCACCTTAACTGCAGTTGTACTATGTACCTAATACATAATAGCTACAAGTATATTGTTATACATATGTAAGTAACCTGTAAACTACAGTTTAATAGTCCATAATCGTACAAAGCCTCGCAGCAAACATCTGGCGAGCCAACTTTATATCCCGATGCGGTAATCGAACTCGAGCCGCGACGCTGCGTCATTTGGCTCGTTAAAATAATAACACGGATGTGTACTAAATTTTATATTTGATAGTTTGAACATTTTTTAACGAAGTCAAGAATTTTTGGAAATGATTCTTTCTGTTGTATTACGTAAAGTTGTAAAGCGATTGAATGGAATTGATTCCGTTTTGTAAGGCAGCCTTGGACAGTATAGCTTTTAATAATTCATAAGTCGTTCATTATGTCTTTATTCCTTTCTGGTAATGTGTCATATAATTAAGGTGGATAATATGATCGAAATTTTGTCCTTACGTAAATCAGGAAGTCCCTAAAAACGAGCTTCGGAGCTTCGTGCAATAAATAAACACTCTAAAGTAACAAAAAAATAGTGTTTTACTAAGAAATCGTCATTAGACCACTAGTTCAGTGTTAATGAGTGTATGTAGGAGTAATCAAATAATAAAACTGACTACGCATGCTGTCCTTGTCTAGGCACATTGTCGCTAATGCTCACTGACCTATTATGTCATCTATTGTGGATCAAGGACGCAGACGTACTTAACTAGTGATCCGTGACAAAATGTGCATTATATATATGACTAGATCATTTGATTTAATTAGCGATTATATGTTAGTTATGTACGAACACCAGTCCATCATACCCCTGCCTGGTTACATCAATAGATTTTCAACTTTAATCCAAAATTGTAAAGTTGGAAATCTATAAACATCTTTGAGAGATCAACTCCTGCGAATATACAGTGTGAGTGGACTGTCGTGCAGTGGACGGACAGGGGTCAATAGATCTCGAACTATAACAGCATAACTTGATTTCCGATAGTCAATTATGCAATCGACAATCGAGATTATTTGTAGGTGATTCGTGAATGTCAATATCCGAATAAGTTTATTATTTGGATGATCTTTTTAGAAATTATAATTATAAAGGGGCACTTATACACATTGTATTGTTTTGTATAGACAAATGTTTTCCAAATAAGTTTTTTTTTGTAAACTTGACGTGAAATCAATGGACTGTCGGTACACACTACGTCTTTGTGCTCATGACGAAACTAGAGGTCTGAGGTCCTTTACGATCTTGATTTATGTCCATTGAGTTTTTATATTTTTAACCTTGGAAATTATTATTAACCATGACACAATAGTTCATTCTGATACTATCAAATATTTTGTTTATTTTTCACCTTGTGTGTGACAGTACTTAGTTGTTCGAAAAATGATCATTTCTCTAGACATTGAATGAACGTATACGCGTTCACGTGTTTGGGTAAATGGACTGTTCATTTATAAATAATTAAAGACCATGGCATGTGTAGAGTAACCATCGCTAATTTTAGCGAAACTCCTCAAGGCGTAATTTGTTAACGTTGCAACCATCATCAAAATAGCAAAAATACTGCATAATTAGTGTTCAAAAACTAACACTACCTGTTCCTAAAATTTAAACATTTAATTTTATCTATACCTTATGTGGAGCATTTAAAGTTTTCTATCAATTACCTGTAATTTATTTTTAAACTCGATTATATTAAAGGAAGGTTAGCATTATCGTGAATTTTTAAACAAGTCTTGCATTTGTAGCACAGTTACGGCCTTCACATATTATCATGACCTTGTCTATGAATAGGCCCCTTTATATTCTTTGTTATGTTCCCACTAACGTGAGCAAATAAACCTTTTAATGGGTGAATTTAAGAGCTCTGACACAGTTTATATGTCCGCTCTGTAGATATACGCACTTCCGAAACACTTTCGCTTGACATTAATTACCTTTTTAACAAAAAAGTTTTAAGTAGATCGTACACAGATTGTTACTTTGATTTGAGGGTCAAACTAGAGTTCTTTTACTTTTACATCCGGAAATGTTAACATCGACCCTTTTAGTAGTCTTAAGTTCTAGTCCATTTGTTTGTGAACTGCTCTGTACAATACATAAGGCTTAGTATTTTTTTCTCACATTGTGTTCTATATTCGAATATAAATGTTTGTAACGTGCGTGTACTGTCAAACGTGTCTGAGTATCGATTAACCAATAACTAAGTCTAAACTAAACCAAAGAGGTATTAAGCGAAGCTCCATCTTGTTGTATCACTGACAAGAGTGCCCTGGTTTTGAATCGGATTATGCATACAGAATCCCCTTGTGGAATAACATCTACCGACTGTATCCCTGATTGGATATACCTGTCTGTCTATACTGATATTTCCTATTAAGTTGATGAGATTACGAAAGCGGTAATCTCTCGGATAGATTTGGATTTGCAAAACAATAACAAAAAATATATTTCTTTTCTTGATTTAAAAGAGCGAAATAATGTATGTAAAAATCTAACATCGCGTTACAATTTAAGAAAGAAAAACGCAAGTAAAATCTCTAACTCGAATTATAACTTTGAATCAATGGCTATAAGAGTGATTTTTAGGCACTACATTAATATTATCAGTTGTACTGATCAGTACTTTAATGGCTGCTATATTTGTAGTATATAATTTGTTCCTATTTACGGTCAGCGGGTTGAAGAAACTTTACTGTAATCACTCGCAACTCGCGCGATTTTCCTTATACATGTAGGAAAAGTACAGCATTCCTTACATATTTCTATTAGATCTAACGTCGAACATCTGCTCATAAATACGGAATATCTGACTACGCATCTGGCCTTTTTGAAGGACTATGTTTGGCCTTCTTTAGTGCACCTACTCATGGTGTCATTAACATATTAGATTTCTGTTGGGGAGGTTCCTTATGAGACTTATGAGACACTTTATGGTTACCTTAAAGTCTCAAATATGAATGGATGATGTTTCTTTATGCCTTGAGAGTAATTTGTTATAAGAAGATTAGGTTAGTATCAGATTCTTTACGCGATAATCGCAACCGTTACGCATGAGCACTACGCTACGCCTAATAGGTTTGGCTATGTTAGTCACACGAAGTTAAATACTAACTAGGTACTAAATAAATATAAAGTTTCAATGTCTAATACAGTAATGTTTTTTCCAGCAACGTCATCAAAACGATTCACAAGTAAACCACAGGCGGGCGAAGACTCTGCGCAATGGCAAGCTTGTGGAGGAGAAGTGGGCGTCTGTTCAGGTGGGAGACGTCATCAGGCTGGAGAACGACCAGTTCGTCGCGGCGGACATTTTGCTCCTCAGCAGCTCGGAGCCCAACGGTCTCTGTTACATAGAGACTGCCGAGTTGGATGGGTTAGTTCATATTATTTTTCTTTTTTAGCAAAAAGAGTAGATGAAAATTTGTAGCACCGTGGTTTAAGAACCATTAGCATAGAGGAATAATATCACCAATTACCGACTGAATGCACGACTGATTTCATCAAGAATGTTCAGTACAGTATCGGCTAATAAAGGAAATATTCAATGCTATTGTTGTTTGGTTGCAGGGAGACGAATTTGAAATGTCGTCAGTGCCTTTTAGAGACGGCTGCAATGGGGCAGGACGACGCACAACTGGGTGCTTTCGACGGTGAGATCGTCTGCGAAACACCCAACAATCTACTTAATAAGTTTGATGGTAAGTCCTACAATATGACTACGTTTTGTTACGACTTCTAATTATTTTCTCGATATCCACTGAATGTGACGCTCGGTTGACATGAATACAATACAACATTATGTATAAGAATAAGTATTAATTTATTTTTATAGTTATAATTAAGGACGTTATCAACAAGACTGTTAACATAGTAAGGAAAGAGTTTCTTTCACAAACTTTAATCCCAATTACTTGTTGTTTTTACTGATACCGTTTCGATATATTTGCGAAATGTACTGTGGAAGCCGCACATAGTTGCTGCTTGATTAAGTAACTTTGAAATCGCTTGCCAATAGCAGACACCTAACCGTCTTATTACAAAGTACTTAACAAAGCAAATTCTTATGATTCTCAAATCCGCGATTAACCTTCCATTTGGATTACACAAACTTAATAAAAGTTACTATGGTTTTGTTGGGAATTAATGTCGAGCTTATGGTGTTTTAGTGTCGTTAACAGTTTTACTGCCACTTTTGTAGTGGTCACAAGCGTAACTTCTGAGCAAAGAGTTTAGGATCAAATTCTCGTTACAGGAATAAAATAATAAATATTTTTTGTTTATGTTTTATTATTTGTCGTAATGCAATCTAAGAATTGGGTTGTGTCCATATGGGTTGTGTACATTCAAAATTAAAAATCTAATTAGTCCGTCAGTTAAATACTGAAAAAATATTAGACACGTATTTTTTATTTTCTCATATTAAGTTGCAATAATTAGATAAAATGACGCTAAGTTTAGGAGTGGGAGGTTGTTACGTCATAACGTGCTACAAAATGTGACACGCTGTGACGTCACACGATATTTCAAATTAACTCGTCGAGTACCATCATTATAGACACAATTATAGAACAATAGGTTGCGGTCACCGGTGACCGCTTGGTGTTTGACAGTTTAATATATCGTCGAAAGTATTTAATTTTGTCAGAAAAGAAAATATCGTGTCTAAGGTTGAAATTAATGTACCAGACGGACATAAAAATAAAATTTATGAAACTACCCTATTATTGCTAATGAAACTACCCTATTATTGCTATTTTTCATGCATCCAACCATGTAAAGATTGCTTCGATTGAACCCATGGTATGCACATACCACCACGCTCAACATACAGCCACTGCACAAACCGTGCCGATACCATTATTTTAGTCACGTCTCAAAATTTAAACAATAACTAAACGTGATTCGTTCCACAAATATTGGATTTTATTTCTCATGTTTTGGACACTATACATTTTGAGCATTTGTCGTTCATTTCCTCGTTTAGATGTAAGATAAGATAATTGTATGATTGCTTTGGTCTACATCTACATAGATCGACATGAAAGTTAAACAAAATATGAAGTGATCGAAGCAAGTGGTACAAAAACCCTTCAAAGGATAGACAGAGGTAAACGATTGCACAACTTAAATGTCAACGCTCACTATTTATATACGTAAAACATAAAACCAGGTCTGATTTTTCTCGACAACGACAACCCATTACAAGAAGTAAGTCATAATTAGGGACATTTTGATAACAAATAAATGGACAAACTATGACCTGGTAAAATTAATACTCCATTATTATTGGTATATTTTAGGTACGTATATGGCAATAGGCTCACCTCCTATTACTTGGGACTTTAAATAGTAAAAAGTGGGTGTTACATTGTACAGTAGCTTAATGTGCACCTCTGTCTTCCCCTTCGAAGATAAAAGGCGCGATGTTATGTTATTTTAGGTACGTTCTGGAAAAATATAAATTCCTTTACCGTGATTAATTTTGAAACTGCAACACCGTTTTTCTCGAGCAGGTCATATAATTCGCTCGCTGGGTGCAATACGGACATACAGCACTTTATCATATTGATGGATGGAATCTAAATCGAGTATTTGTACTTGAACGTGTGAATCATACGGACTTGGGTTATTCTCTGTCAGTGACACAGTTTATTTATATTATCTGTACTGGAGTACACTTTCTTCTAGTTATCTTAATTGCTTACAACTAATTATTTGTATAGTAACTATCGCACTCTGAATCATCTAACCCGTATAACCCGTAGTGTGCGGCGAACGCAGATCAAAGTCAAAGTCAAAGCATTTATTTCAATTAATCCATAATTTTATACTTTTGAAACGTCAAGAAATACAAAATAAATAATAGTCTGTCAGATCTACGCGAGACACGATGTACTTTCTCTTGTGTCACATACATACCGGCATCCAAGTGGTTTTCGATACAATTTCGTTACTAAGGAGTAGTTTAAGTAATCATAAAAATATGTCTCTGCTTGACTGTGTTCAAGACACACATTGTTATTTTTTCATAGCGTATGTATTGTATTTTTAACTAACATATATAACACGGTATTTGCTATCGGAAGACTTATGTATGTCCAACTACTCAAACGCCACCCAATTTTAAATGGCGCTTAAGTGCTGTCACCACACATTCTTTGTAAAATGACAGAGATGGCACAATATTTAAGTACAATTTATAATTAAGTAGTAGCCTTTCAGTATTCGGGCGTTATCTCCTTTCTATTTAAGTAGTATTGACTGGAAAACTTCGTTAAGCTTTAATCAGCCTTTTATCTATGCAAAAAAAATGTTACTTGGTAGTATGTATTTATTACAATAATCATTACTAGGTTTTTATCGGAAGAAAACCAATTATTGTAATTGTTTTACTAATAGTTTTGTTCTGTGCGAAATAAATCTACAAGTCGTTTCCCAATTCGTTTGGGATTTGGTTGTCCTTGATCACATACAGTTAAGCGACCGTATTTCACAAGAGATAGAGATCTGCCCTTAAAACCTCCAGAGGATTTATAGAAGTAATGGTGTAGTTGATAATTGACGTACATACTCCTTAATAAGATTATATATTTTAATTTTGAAACATTAACAAGCTTTTAAAAAGTAGTTTCTTATCGATTACGTGACAAGAGTCAGCTATAAAATAGGAGTGGAAAATATTGATGTTTTTTGACTTCATCGTAATCAGGTATCGGATTCAAAAATACACAAACAAGGAAACTGTTAGAGAAACTAACTAATAGGTATATTATAATGTATGTTATTTTATAGACTTCAAATTAATTGATATAAAGAACATTTTGCCTCATAACGACTAAAGATACAAATTGTTTCTTTAATTAAAATAACAATAACATTTTTGTTAGGAACCACTTAATACCGTCGTTTGGCTAATTTGAGCAATTAATACAAATATTTGGCTTATTAGGTCATGCGAACACATTTATCTACGTTGTTGTTTTTTAACCGACTGTAAAAACTAATATTCAATATAATACTTATTGAATATCGGTAATACAATACTTATCCCAACCTGGGATTCGAAACAAAATATACTTGCAGTTGAATTTGTAATCACTATACCACCGAGTTCTTATAGTAATGGAAAATAAGCACCAACAGAGGATCTCGGTTGAATAAACATAGCAGTCGATCGCCTGTCCCGTCGATCACCTCACCCCCTCGCTATCACTTCGATTATGACGTCATAACTGTCGGCCATACGACTTCACTGCCGTTCAATACCATAGGTACCTATTTGATTACGGTAGTCTTATGAACTGAGAAAATATTTTCAATAAAACTTGTAAAGTTTATCTGATGGTATTTTCTAATAATGTTATACTTTAGATTGCCATCATATCAAACTATGGATTTAAATCTGTACATGTTTGATGGAATTTCGACCTTATGTTTTTCGGAGAATGTTTAAATACTATTGAAAAAAGGGTGTTGAGTTTTGGAGATCGATGTGGTGTACGTTTTCATTACAAGATAAATTAATGTGCCTCAAAATGTTGACCACATTCACACAAACGCGATTATCATCGTTATACTCTTGTATTAAAGGTCATTTATCTTTTTCGCAGGTACGCTGAGCTGGCGCAACCAGCACTTCTCCCTCGACAACGACAAGATCCTACTGCGTGGCTGCGTACTACGTAACACGCAGTGGTGTTATGGCGTTGTCGTATTCGCCGGGAAGGACACCAAACTCATGCAGAACTCCGGCAAGACCAAATTCAAGCGCACCAGCATAGATAGGCTACTTAATTTTCTTATTATAGGGGTAAGTTATTATTTAACTTCATAATGTTTTATGTTACGGATCATTAAGCAGTGTTAACTATGTAGAAATAACAACAGTTTGTGTTTCTTAAAATTTCATCATTTTGCGCAAAATGTATGTATCAATCTATAGTTTGCGCAAGTACATATATTTAAGCGCAGCTGTAGCGCAAATAAAATAAGACTATAATATTGTTTCTGTCTTGTCGTAAATCAATTATTTATAAGCCACGTCTATTTAGTCAATAATGTATTTTGACGGACAAAAGACTATAGTCCTTCTTTTATTTTTACAAAAATAATAATTTCCTATAAAGTATCTCCATATTAAAAGGCACGTTTATCGGTTGCAGATAGTATTCTTCTTGCTGTCGATGTGCGTGTTCTGCACGGTGGCGTGTGGCGTGTGGGAGTGGCTGGTGGGGCGCTACTTCCAGGCCTACCTGCCCTGGGACACGCTGGTGCCGGCCGAGCCCACCTGGGGCGCGCTCGTCATCGCCCTGCTCGTCTTCTTCTCATACGCCATCGTCATGAACACTGTCGTGCCTATATCACTCTATGTCTCTGTAGAGGTCAGTATCAACCAAAAGCATTCCATAATCCATTTAGAATTATAAAGTAAATTAGAAAATCTTTACACTCAAAAACAACAACATCAATCGTGTAAACAGTAATATCAAATTAATATTGAAAATAATAAAATAGGCATGTTGATTGTTTTAAAACAATTCCCTTTATACCTAATTTATCATTGATGTATATGGTGTTTAACCACAAATTATTTTCAACTGTATTCAAATGACACATACTTAAAAGTTAAAAAGGTTATATTGTTTGTGTAATAACTTAAAATGATGTAATGAAATAGATTACTCAGCTCAAATATTTTCCTGTTATTTATAGGTAATAAGGTTTGCCCAGAGTTTCCTCATAAACTGGGACGAGAAAATGTATTACGAAAAGACTGGTACCGCGGCAAAGGCGCGAACTACCACTTTAAATGAGGAACTTGGTAAGTTTTAATGTTTTATCACCCAATTAATTATTTAAAACGTCAACTAATTCAATAATAAATCCCAACACTGCGCAATGTTTGCGCAACTGTTTGCGCATATTGCGCAGCTTCTTGTATGCATGTATCGTGTGCATACAAATGCGTAAATAACTTTAGTAAAGTTCTCATGAGTACTGTTATTTCCAGGCCAGATCCAGTACATATTCTCAGATAAAACGGGCACTCTCACTCAGAACATAATGACGTTCAACAAGTGTTCGATAGCGGGCGTTTGCTACGGAGACGTCGTGGACGAAACCACCGGTGAAACTATAGACCTCGCCGAGGTACGTCATGTACGTTCAATTCCAAACAAGGCCACGGACCAAGTACCCACTTTCAAAGTTATTTATCGAACAGCACATGCTCTTGACCATAGTCGATAGACACATGCATGTAGGTTTATGCAGTCTGTATAAAGTATGTAAAGTATCACTAAGCACTTGAAATTCAACAAGACTCGCACGACCAGTTATACATCTTTTATTTTGCATGTTTGACTTTGATTTTCAAAACAGTAGGTACTTTGGACTTTACGTTTTGTACTGTAAATGATGAAATTGTCCACGTTTGCTCACGCTTTTGGGGTTATGTGAATTGTTTGAATTTTATTGTCATGTCATACTGTTTGTGTTTGTTTTACAGTTAGTTTGTGGATATATACATAGTATCACACCTCAGTATCATGTTTGTGTTATAATATGTTCACTTCATGGATGAATATTTCAATCGAACATCCACCAAGCGCATCACTAGATCCTTATATTTCGTTTGAGTTTTATTTGCATGGTCACACACATCAGCGGTGCAGTATTGTGCCCTGCAGACATAAACACATAATGGGGAACATTTGTCATTGTTAGACCGCAACCCTTAGAGGACCAATAACATAAAAACATTAATTGTGATTGTAATAATTACTTGAAGTGAAAATTGCTCGCGAAAATTTAGACGTCAAAGTATTGAAAGAAAAGTTTCAATAGCTGCACGTTTAGACGTTTACCTAGGAGTAGGGTAGGTAGGCGATGTAGGGTGGAGTGTGATGTGTGTGTGGTGACGCAGCGACAGCGCGGCGCGGGCGGGGCCGGGGGCGGG